GAGTTATTTGGATTTGATAGGGTGTTGTATGCATTTGAACTACTACCTGGATGACGATGCCCTAGCATGCCTAAGTCGGTCAGCACGCAAACTTTGCTCAGAAAAAAGCTCATAACTCGCTTCAGAGAAACGCTTCGCAGCTAAGGACAGCATATTTGAATCAGCGTTCCGAGCTGATTCTAAATATTAGGTTGATTCATAATTAATGCACGTTTTTCCTACCTCTTTTTTCAACAGCTGGTATTTGATGTGTAATCAATTCCCTCAAAAACTTTGTATGCTATCTGAAAGAGCGTTTTTTCTAGTTTCTTATGTGGCCCTTCGCTTTTGTACATCTCCTTTCATTCCAAAGTTCTGAGCCTTCAAATAAAAGAGTTTAAATTCCAAAATTTTTGCCTTTCACTCTTTTTGCCCTAAATCCATGAGGAATGGGCGGATTGATCATAAAAAATATGCATAAGGATTACAAAACTCTATGCTACAAGATGCTATTTGAACAAAATTCTCCATGAAGTCTGAGCCGAGAAACTCAATTGCGAACTTTAATGATCATCGCGGCCCTTCCATGCCATATAAAACTTTGAGGTAAAAGGCGATTGCAGGTTTTTTGCACTATCAAGCAAGGGTAGACCTATTTCATTTGTTGGTTAGAAAGCGCTAGGGTTTTCTCACTTTCCAGCGGAGATAAATGAAATAATTTCAAAAATGACCGATTTATGAACCCGCCGAGATGCCAGAAAAAAGTAAGCACTTTCGACTTTTTCGCGATATTTTCTTTCAAATTTTTTCCTTCAATCCAAGCTTGGCATTACTGCTCAAGAGACCCTTGGCTACACGACGAGCGAAGTCTGCTTTATCCTACTTCATTTAAGCATAAGTTATGTTCCCTCAAAGTAGAGGTTTCCGAAAAAGTTGTTGGCAATCTCCAGGCAAGAAAATCTTTTTTATGATAGATACAGTCACGCAAAAGTATATGTTTCATAGCCACTGATTTTATGGTTACAGTAGTTTTTATTGCGCCCAGAAATGTCTTTTCAAAAAAGAATTACCTTGGTTGAAAGTTGAAGTATAGAAAACGTGCATTAATTATGAATCAACCTAATATATGTGTCTTATTTCAAAAGGCCGAACTAAGTTAAGTGAATTCCCTTGTTAGAAAAAACTTTCCTCAACACAGAACACAATGCCGCGTCTTCTATCTGGCACAAGCCTAGAATGGGATGGCTGAACATTTGGGCCTGAGGTGGTACATCAAAAAATATCATTCGTAGCGCCAGACATTCTCTTTCATGTCCTGAAGGTTGTTCAATTTTTTGATAGTTTGAGTTATAAAAATTTATGAAATTTCCATCCCGCTCAAACCCAGCGAAAAAAGGATCTACATGCTGGAATAAGATCATTTATGCGATGAGCTCTAGAGAAGAATATGAAACTGGCAATTACATCTGCACAGCTTCCATAACTACTTTCTGTTTTGAAATATCACTCCATCACAGAAAAGACCATCCGATAGCAACCACTATGCGTATAAAGCAGGATGTTTGTGTGTCTGTCTGTGCTCATGCCCATAGTCATGAAGGATGAGCGGCAAAGCTCATTTTGTTTCGATGACCATTAAGACATGGTAGGATGGTAGGAAGCGAATCTAAGACGAGTCGGAATCAAAAGAAGAGTAGGTTTAGCTGCATGAGAGGTTAAGTGCGACGGACTGGCTTCAAACCGGGGTGAAACACGGGATGCCAACTCGTGTAATTATAAGAGTTCAGCCGTAATTTTGATCGTAATTGTAATGGTGTTTCGTGTGTCTTTTTTTTGAAGTTTTTTGTTTTTGTTTCGTGTATTTTTTTGTATTGCAAGTTACTACTATATTACAAATTTTCTGCGGTTTGACCGATGTATGACTTATGACTCGTACGACTTCTGGGCGAATTGTCGCACCTCAGCGCGATGAGATACAAATCTGCTGCGCAATTTTTCCAAAGAGATCTGTGAACGACGAAGGTGCGCTTAGTAGCTCAGCCGCGGCGCTGTTGCCAGCTCTGGCGGCTGAGGACGACACCAGGCGGCAGTCTGTGCAAGGCTCCAGCCAGAATTCGCACAAGCGCTCAAAACGCCCAAATTTTTCCTTTCTTCACTTTCTCTGTCTCTCCTCATACGAGGAAGTGAACAGACATCAGAGAAATTTGGGCACTTTTGCGCTTTTGGGAGCTTTTGAGTGCTTTTGAGCGACCGGCCGGGGCCTAACATTTGCACGCCTCCCACAGCGCTCTAACGGAAATCTCTCGCTTATCGCTCATACATCCCCAAAATATTGCATCAACTTCTTGATGCTCGAGCATTTACGAAGCAAGCGATCGCTAAACGTTAGATTAGACAACCAATGTTATCTCTCTTCAACCAGATCTGTCTAATTCAGCCACCTGCTTACGTTAGTTTACTGAGCGACCGATTAGTGATTTTTGTTTGTATGTCACTATCCAGAAGGTTATGACGCTATTAGATGGTTGATAACAATCTTTCAAAAAATGGACTTATCACAGCCTTTGGTTCTAGTGGTTGTATTGAGATTTATGTCCGGATTGAGAGTAACTAAAATAGAACCTGGGCCCTTATCACTTGTACATCAGTAAGTTCTCCATTACTTGCCCGCGCATACCAGAAACGGACGTATGCTTTGATCGTACTATTCAAGCACTTAACCGATATCAGATTTACTAGGGAGACCGATAGTGCGAATTTTCATTTTTCAAGGTTCGATATGCTGGAAAAGGGGAAGTGCTGGACTAAATGGCAGGAACCCATTAGTAAGAAATATACTACTGCATTACTCTACCGCTTACCGTATCCATATAAAACTCGCAATCAGAGTTATCGGAAATGAGGAACAGCTAAGGCATCGGTCATACCTTTGGCGACTCCGTCGTAGCGACTCCCATCGCTGGGGCATTCAATGCCTCGGCGTCCGATAGCTTCGGGACTAATGCATGTCGCTCATTTTGGGCATACCTTTCACAAACTCATAGCTCACACGTCACGCCCGAATGAACGCACACTTTATCGAGTTTTTAGATTCGTCTAACATCTATCACTCCTTTTCACTACTATACTAAAGAATGAGTGCTGCATACGTTCCAACTTGACGAAATTGCAGTGGAGACAAATTTCGGGGAGCAACGGAATCTGCCACTTCGCTACCAAACCCTAGAATTACTTCAGAGATTGTGCACAACACGTCGATACCACGAGTAAAGACGTGAAGTGTACACCCAAAATAAAAATTACATCGCAGTTTTAGTTCTCATTTAGCGTGTAAAAGCAACAAACTAAACACTATGCGACGCATTCAGAATAAGGAAAGATGTGCTGAATGGAAGAAGAAGTCTGCTGCATGCCAAGCGGTGGATGTAAACGAAGTGTAGAATTCAAAAGAAGATATTATAGACTACATCCGTTGTTCGCGAAAAGGCGTAAGAGCAAAAGCGAAAGACAGTTTAGTGTTTTGGATGCGATGGCATGCGGTCTGTCGCTCCCACAAACTGGCACGAATGTGGCGGGACCCACTCTCTCAAATACTTGAGAGCGACAGGTCAGGAACACATGTCCGATGGAGTGATCGCGCAGCGATCGAAGTCGTGTAAGGTATGTCCGATGCCTAACTAAGGAGGTGTACCAAATCCCAATGACGCTCAAAGAAGAGAAGCATACTATTTCATTTCCACTTTAGATTTTTGATAGGGTGCCTTCAAAGTGGAGATTCAACAAGCTTTTAAAAGCAATCAAATGCCTGTAAAGCTCTCCCTCTACGAATTGGGGAATCGATGATACCCGATTGCGCTAGTTACGAGAATCACCACTTGTATAACTTTCCAGTGGCGGAGCGAGGATAGGGAGAGGCATGGCTTCTGTTTTGAAAATAAGTCGTGAAATCGGCTTGCTCGCACGAGTCACGATCTACTTCGATCCTTATGAAATTTTAACACGTTTCGGACGCGAAATCGCGCGCGGCGATAAAGAGGGTACCTTCAGCCGTTAGCCAACAAAGGGGGCTTAATTCGTAGGCTGTGTGCTGGATCTGTAATCAGCATGTCAGACAAGCTCCATAGCCAAAGTTCTGAGTGAATTCGAAGTGTTTGAATTTTGTCGCCTGAGAAGGATTTGTGTGCTTTCCTAAAAGATAGGAACAAGAACTCAGTTTCTAATTCTATTCAAAAGTATCTATGTTGTATACAGTACACTTCATTACTGAAACCACGGTTTTTCTCTTGAAATAGGAGCAAAGAAAAGTTGCGACGTCGCACGCGTCGTTCGCGTTGCCGCACTTCATTGCAACTGTTGTTCGATTTCTCCTCATATCTTCTAAACAAATATCGTCGGCACAGCCCTACAGAGTCATTTGAAAAGGAGGAGCTTAGCCCTTTGATTTGTTGACCTTGGACAAAAAGAAAACCTCCTGCAAACATTGAAAAGATCCTTGAAAGGCGCTGCGAAACGTGTTAAACTAGCCTTGTATTTTCTGGCTGCCTCGACGTCTCCATCAATTGATTTAAGGGGTATAAGCCCGCAAAAAATTTGTAAAGCATCCCAAAAAGAACTTTTTTGAAGACCTGGCTAACTCCACGCATCTTCATTTTGGCAAATGTGTTGTCTCTCCCCCCTCCCCCCTCGAAGCAACTTCTCAGAAAGTAGGGGAACGAAAGCCGCCAGTATGGGCCGCCTCCGGACTACTGGTCCTGGAATGACATACAACAATGCTGCAAAAGGAGCAATTGGCCGCGAAAGGCGGCTTAAACTGACGGCATTCGTCCCCTAGCCCTTCTCGGAACGCCACTGTTCACTCCTCATTCAATATCTTCAGAAGAAAGCAACAAGGAAAGACAAGTTCTGCAGGTAGTCATATATTTTATATTAATTGCAGAAGAAGGTGGCAGTGTATCTAAGTTACTGACTCAACCTAAAATCTAAAATCCTGGTAACAAATTTGTCTGTTGTATTTCTTTTAGATGCTGGGATGATGACCCAGATGTGCGCCCCAATAGTGAGCAAGTGAAGCAGTATTTTGCCGTTTTGAAAAAAGTTCGTTCTGCTACTTCGTATTATACATGATGGGTTTTAAAAAAATCGTGCTTGTCTTTAGGCTTTTCCAAATGGCAACTATGATCTCACTGATACCAGCACAAATAGGCCCGCGGTAGGCCCCCGTAGCATGGAGAATGTGTGCCCAAATCCAGAGAACATTGGCGCGGGTGATGTAAAAGGGACCCAAAATGAGAATACGGCACGTGATCCTCCTGTTGGGTTTTTGCGACCATATCTGCGATACCTTGAGTGAGTTCTATAGTAGTGCTAACTCTCGGCTGGGTTTTTCTTTCAACACTTTTTTTAAACACTTTTAATAGATTCTAGGAAGTGCGGACATTTTCATTCTCACACTTATGTAGGAAATTTTATTGAGCAAATTTAAGTCGAAGAAGAAATCCGTGGGATCCACAAGATCCTTTTCTTCTCAATCCCGTCCTTTTTGTGCAGCGGCTTTTTTCTACCATGGAGTGGTGTGTCTGCAAAATCAAAGGTACACGATTTTGCTATGTATATATCGTCTGTCCTCCAGAAATGTTCCCATTCCCATAGGTAACCCATCAAAGCAGCTTCCTTTCGATCGTTCCAATATGTCAACAACGAATAAGCGCCTTAAATTTTGCTGGAGTCAAGGCAGCGTCCTGGCAAAGCAATGGATACGGGGATTTTATAACTTTGCAGTGGTACACCCCAGCTAACCTACCAGTGAAGTCTGCAGCGAAAAAGCGCGTCTGGAAAGCCTAAAATTATTCTGGAAATCTTCCGGACACCGCCTCCTTGTTTCGTATTCCTCCCCATCACACGCATTTTTCAGCGAATGCGCTTATGAGGAGCCCTGAAAAGAGCTCACTTTTTCTTATTTTGATTCGCCATTTTCATTCGCTGAAAAGCCCAGTGTGTTTAGCATGGCGAGAAAGCTCCGAAAAGGTGAAAAATAGGAGTGCGCAATTTCGCCGGTACACCGTTTTTAAAGGCAGCAGTTCGGCAGAACGACAAGCTTGGGATATTTATCGTTTTCGGTTCTCCTGGATGAGCTAAACCATGACTGTGCTTTGCAGCTTCAAGAGATATCAATAACCTGCTTTTCCAGACGTAAAAAGTGCTGTTTGGGCGGGTCGCGAAAATGGCTGCTGAAGCCAATATTTCAATTGCCGCCGAGATGAGTAGGACACACGAGCCAATCGCGCTCGCTCTAGAGGGCAGGCATAGCTATCCGCCCAAATAACGCTTTTTACGTCTGAAAGCGGGTTATCGATATCTTTTGAAGCTGCAAAGCACTTCCTGGATTTAGCTCATCCAGGAGAACCCAGAGATGAGTATCCCAAAATGTCATTTTGCAGAGCCGCTGTCTTTAAAGCGTTGAAACAATCGAAAGGCAGCGACGTAGATGATGCTTGTTGGAGCATTTCTGGGGCACAAACTATATCTCTTTCCCTGAGCAAGAGACACGAACACGCTTTGCGTACGTCTCTTCAAGAAGTGTATGTGCCTTTTAACGTTTTGGTGATTTTCTACGGAGTTCGTGGAAGACATGTTTGAACTCGCTGGTGTAACTAGCCTATGAATTTCTGACAGTAAAACAAAACGTGTCAAAGCACACCTAAACTTGTTAATCAGACCTACGCAAAGCGTGCCCGTGGCTCTTATTGTTAGTCAGAGAATGAATGATATGCTCCTTGTTGCAGGTTTCTGTAATTGTCGAACAAGTAGCCAGGACTGTGATGTCAGAATCTTGCACGCGCAAGTGGTCGGCATTACAGGTATAAGCTCCTGCAAGACGAAGGCGGTTGGTTCGAGGCGCGACGTGGCTGTGACGCGCTGTGACGCTGCTGTGACGCAGCCATGTCGCAGCCGCGTTGCACATCGAACCGACCGCCTTCGTCTTGCAGGAGCTTATATACCAACTTGTTCACGCACAATTACTGCAAATTCTCTGCATCGCAAGCACACTATATCAAGCGGGAAATCTTAGCCTATAGGTATATATCTATACAGGGTGTCCCAAAAGTAAGCACACACTTTTCAATCTCTAATATCTCTCTTCCCAATGGGTCTTTTTTGGCCAGTCAAGCACCATTCTGTAGAGGAGGCTTGAACTTAGATTTAGAGTATTGGCCGTATCACCGATCGCTCTTCATTACCGTAGGATTACGGTAAGAACTTCCAGCATGTGGAACCATCGTTAAATATGCCATCTGACAAAATTTTTTCAAAAAATCTGAAAAATCGTGTACTAGGGTTTGCGCGCACGCTGATTCCACTACACGACTTCTTACGAGTGTTTTCAGCTGTTTTGATCGTGTAATCACATTCCTGACAAATACTGGGAATTCGGTTGTTACGGTTTACCGGAGATAACTTCGGGAAGAAGCATCGGAGTAAAGTGAAAATTACATATTCGAAATCAGCGGCTTCCATTGGCCTAGTATAAGAGTTTTTGGCTTGTTTGGTTTTGTTTCGAGGCAGAATATGGCTTTCAATGCTCTGAAATCCTTGTCGAAGTTCTTACAGTAATCCTACAGTAATGAACAGCGATCGGTCATTCGCTCGATACTGCAAATCTAAGTTAAAGCCTCCTCTACAGAATGGTGCTTGAGTGGCCAAAAAAGACCCATTGGGAAGAGAGATGATAGCGATTGAAAAGTGTGTACTTACTTTTGGGACACCCTGTATATGTCTGTATTCTACATTTTGTATTGTCTGTAGAGCATGTTAATTGATACAAGTGCTAAATGATGAGGTTTAACACTTATTGCAGATTGTTCAGCAATTTTTAATAAACATGAAAAGATATTTGTTTTCTAATTTGATAAAAGAATAAATGTCTTTTCAAAGTTTCGGATTTTAGAGTCCGACTGGCATACCTTGATATGATGTGAAAAACAAAAAAAAATTATAGTCCTGAACCTAATGAACAGCAGTTGCACCTCCAAGTGACTATCGAAGGTTGAAGGCAGTGGCTCGGCAAAACCTCGACTTGTAGTTTTTTCGCTCATCTGGTGTAATCCGACGCTCTGATTCCGAAAACGCACCCTAGAGAACGCGAAAATGGCAGAAACTAGCATTTTCCAAGGCCTCTTTTTAAATTCGGACGAGTAGAACGCTTAGAGACGTAGAATCGTTGCGGAACCCTCATATTCATAGTATTGCGGCGTGCCGCCTCTGACGGTGTCAGAAATATCGCAAGCTCGTCCGAGCGCGTGCGAGAATGGCTTATGCGCACGAGCGGCAATTTTCTAGGCAGGGGCAGTAGGCAGTGCGCTCGGACCTACTCCGTTCTAATGTTTGGGGTGCAAGCAACCTTCCATACAAAAATTTCGAGATTTTGGTTTTGCCGAGCCACTGCCTTCAAGTGTTGACCGATGTGTCCACATTCAGACCAAACAACTCTGTAAAATCGGATTATTTTGCGATAACTCCTCAACATCTTTGTGCGGTACTTCCATTATTAAATTACAAATTACATCGATTTCGATAGAGATTTTGGTTTCCAGATTTCTTCCAGATTCATCCTCGAAAAAATATCTTACTATGCTAGTTTTGCTTAAATTTTTTTTTTAAATTACTGCATCCAACCAATAGCTTGCTCAGACTACACGTTCCCAGCGCGGTGCACGTCCAGGCTAGGCGGCTGCGCGGTACCCGAGCCGCTGAAGTCGGGCTCATCCAGAGAGACTCCAGAAGATATGTTATAAATATGCATTGTATCAGCAGCAGTATCACAGCTCCAGTGGCTGGGGTTTCCGCGGCCGCCTTGCTCAGGTGTTGCACAGTCTCGCACATATAGGGGCTTACAGGATTGCAGGTACGCGCGCACGTCGGATGTCACTAAGGCAGGTGCCAGACTTATCCGCTTCAGCCGGTTCGTTCGGTTCATAGGTCAAATCACTACACTATCCAATAGCAAAGGTAGTGAAACTGAATAACACCCTGGACATTTTTCGACAACTGAACATTTGGACAACTGAATAACTTGAACCTGTTCAACAGGATAAGTCTGACACCTACCTGAGTCGCCGGACGCACACCCGACTCTCGCGATCCTGCAGGCCCCTATACCCTCTGAGCGCTCTCCTGCTCAGCAAATGAGAGTTGAGCGCGAAAAATGTCCAGGGTTATGTTTGCGAACGCTACGAAAGGCATGAGCAAGGTGCTGCAAAGTTTCGAGCCGCGCCGTGACTTGCACTGTGACAACCTGTAGACACTGTAGTGAAGAGAATGTGAGTTAGTAGTTCTCACGATGCACCAGCGCTGTATAGGTAGTTCTTTGATCAGAGGTTGCCCTTTACGGCTTTAGCAGCTCGGAACTCATGCTGCATAAGCATAAGTATCTAAACTGCTTAGCTGCTTTCCAGAAAACGATCCGCAGCCTTGGGACAACTGAACAACTTCTGCATATAGGATATAGATCTAACAGCATCGGTAAACACAAAAAGTGTCGTTGTGGTCTCGGCATTTGCCGACAACATTCGCGTGGAGCTACAATCAGAGCAGACTTTTGTCGACGAAATATCTCTGCGATATCGATAATGCTAACAACATTTGTGCATGCGCAAGCTGCCTTCAGTGCTGACAATTTTGGCATGGGAAATAACCGCATAGATTTCGCACCTTCTCAGGTTTGGGCCTCGTAGCAATTTGCTCGCGTGAAAATCACTTGTGGTTTAATGACTACTTTTTCCTTCCCTTCACCCTCATCAGTTGCAGAGAAACATCTTCATGCAGAATCAAATCCATGCAGTATGTTAGTTCCAACTACAATGGGCTCATCTCCTTCACTGCAATAAAAGCCGACCAATGGGAAGTCTGTAAAGTTAGTCGTTCTAAATTTTGGCTTCAAACGTTACGATCACGTCAATGCCTCACCAAACTGGAAAAAGAGCAATGTTTTAGCAGAGCAGAACCATGTCTCTCCCTTTACTTCTGATTCCTTAGTCCTTTTTTCAGTCCCAGTTGCTAACGAAATGAATTTGTAAGAAATCTTTCGCGCTCATCTCTCGGAGGGATGGATCAAATGCAGCAACTCAACGGCTGATTTCGCGATAGGCCGCGAATTACGATTGGAGCAAGTTTTTTCTCAATCCTTCAAAGGGAACCAAATTGTGTTAAGTATATTCGTCGACGACTGCCCAGACTCGTGCAATTACACCACCTCGGGCGCGCCTTTTTGGAACCTTTCCCAGCTGGACAGTACGTGCAGCGCGCTGGGACTCAATGGCCGCAGCAACACTGTCCTTTAACCTCTTTCTCTTAATTTGAGCATTTCATATCGTTTTTTCTTCTGATTTCAAATTTGAGCAGTAATTCGTTTTTCCTTTCTTTCAGTTTCTCTTGGTAATCAAATATCCTACGTTCTACTTCTGAAATACTAATACTGAAAGGTAAGGGAAAAACTACCTTGAGCACATTTCCTGAATTATTCCTCCGTTTTATGTATAAGAAACATTTATTTTTAAAGTCGTGAATCATCGCCCGGGAAAAGTTAGGTGGAAACATATGCTTTGTTCGTGAGTAATAGTGGCTTGCCTTTCCTTACATGAGATCACTCGTATGTTTATTTCCCACATGGTGTTCCTGCTATGAGAGTGCTGAAGCAACCATTTCAATGGTCTGTCGTAGGAAACATGTCAAGTCATTGTAAAACATCGAAGAAAGCGTGCAATTCTAATCATCCCATGATAACCACCACTGCAACTACAAAGAAAGCTCATCTTTCTTCTAATTTTGCCCGCGGCGATGGTCTTACATAGTTATTAAAATGTGTAACTGCCTGAAACGAAAAATAAGAAAAAAAACGATGTGAAATGTCTAACAGACGAAAGAGATTAAAGGACAATGAGCTGCGAGCTCTCAAGTCCCCGCGCGCCGCAGCCTACTGTCAAGCTGGAAAGGCTCCAAAAAGGTGCGCCCACGATGGTGTAATTGCACGAATCGGGGCAGTCGTCACCGAATATCCTTTACGAATGGAGGTTCAGCAAACAGACAAGCGAGTAAATTTAAACTGTAATACAGCTTTTAAGCTGTCGACCAAGGTTGGCAGCACTCAGCAAGACTTTATTAAACAATAAGCCAACGTCTCGGCGGTCCCTCCGCCTTCTTCCCGAAGGATCGAGACTTTGAGAACTGCCCGCTCAAACGCCCTGTTTTGACAGTGGATTTAGTTTGACTATGTGATGGAGTGGCAGAGTAAATGTGAATGCCGAATGTGACCTCAACCTTGCTTGATCGGAATATGGAGACCGGGTAACCAATACTGCGCTGGAGTTGCGCTATAAGTGAGTATGATAGTCAATGTCAACAATGCCCTTTATAGATGGTCGTAGAAGATCTCGTATCAGAATCCACATAGTGTTTGATAGGAGAACAGTTCGCTGTTTAGGCAATGCCATCTTTGCAGTTCATTTTTGGTGCTTTAGACGCTATCCAAAAGGCTTTCAACGTTTTGCGGACTATTAACACGGACTCGTACGACAAGATTGTAACAGTGACTTGAAAGTGCTGGCTCTCATGGCATAACCTTCGATGTGCAACCAAAGGTGCGGACATTTTGGACTTTCTAAGGGCGTCAAGGTGTTCTTTGATTTTTGTGCACATAGATCTGCCGGCCTCTCTTATGTGTTGATCACCGCATTTTTGACAGGTTGTGAGATATACCACCCTTAATTACATGCAGTGGCCTGGTTTTCTAGACTGGCATAAGACACAGTCAGCGATAGTGCAGATTCTGTCATACGTTGGATTGTGGCTAGGCTGTTTTTTGAGGTTAGGAGGTGGGATATCTATAACTCCGACGGAATCGTCGAGGCCCGCTTGAAACAAAGATTTTCTGATGGCTTTGCTAAAATCATCAGTCACGAATGGAACGCCGAACGGTATTTTTGTTGTCTGGTTCATTTCGATCGGTCTGCTTTCTTGCCTACAGATAAGACTTAGTACACCTTTTGCGGGATAGCCGTTAGAATATACGCAATCTGTTTGGCAATTTTCATCGATGCATTGCGCTTTGCAACGTTGAATGCAACCGATTTTGCTGTCTTGAACATGTTGCCTATCACGGAACGTTTCATGCTCCAAGGATGCGCAGAGCGGTAGTGAATTAATATATTCGTACTTACTGGTTTGCAACAACATGAGTGATGGTTTTGGCCATTCTGTGGCCCAAAGATTTCCGTTGAAGATGAAATCGCCAAAGTTCCGCTGATTTCGTACTCCGCTCAAGCATAAAGGTGGGCCTCCTGTGGACAGTTTTTGCAGAAAAGTGGAAGCTGTTCAGCACACAGAAAACGAAAAATCTTCATATTTTGGGATCTTAAGGCCTACAAAAAATGTCGAAAAAAGCGGACAACTTTGAATATTAATTTTTTTCCTTTTGCAAATCTTCTTTGTTTGAGCCCCCTTCGACTTTTTGTACTACTGGATTGCAGCTACAAAACAGGCTACTTATCATTCACACTAACAAACTTTGAAGGGAGTTATGATTAGTTAAAAACTAGGTTTTAGAAAAAAACTTTTTTTGTTTATCAATCCATATTTTTGTGCCTATTGGTGATATGAGCATATTTGGATGTGCTCTGTTTTGAGAAATATTTGTTCTCTCTAATGGTTTTTACCGCACCAAAGAATGTGGATTTTTTGAAAAGTTATAGTACAGTGCTGGCCAAAACTATACGTCCACCCTGAAAACTGCCGTAACTCATCTGCTTCTCAACGATTTGGTCTAAAATTTGGTACAGCTGTGTGTTTAACAGGCTACCATCAGCACCTAGAACGGATCCCGTTTTTGTTTGTTTATTCAGGAAAAAATCAGAAATTTCGAAAAAAGCAGGCTTGAAGGTTGGCCAAAACTATACTTCCACTTAAGGTTTCTGTCCGTTAAAGTGATTCTCGGCTTCCAAAATATTTTGTGCATATACATAACCAAAAGTCAAAACAGTCGCTTTACTCCAGTTGTGTTCTACCCTTATAAGAAAGGTTTATCTGGTTTTTTTTTTGCTTAAAAATACTTTCATGCGCATTTTGTTCCCGAAAATGTGTTTCTATGGGTGATTTCGCAGTTTTTTGACTGGTTTGGAAACGATAGGGCTTCTTCTATTTTATAAATGCTTAGCGAAGTGAGAACTAGAAAAAAAATTTGAGTTTTTTTCATGTTTTAAAGGGCACCCGACATAGACCTAACAGCAAGACTGCGCTCAAATTTTTGCTTTCAAACTCCTTCTGCAATGTTCTCATGAGCGTGGAGTAAAGCAATAACATTTTTGTACGTATGAGAGTCCGGATGCAATGGTTGCAGATTTCTGCAGGTCTTAGCATGCAGGCTAATGAACTCATCCTGCAAAAACTGATTTGAAAAAAGCTTTAAACTTATTTTTGGTTCTGACCATGATACTCATGTGAGTCACAAGGCATTATACAATACAGGGTGTTTTCACTATCCAGCACTAAAGAGTGGCAAAAAATCAGGAAAGGTTCTAGTTGGTAAGTATTTTGGGATTGCCTAAATATTATCACTGAATCGCGAAGATCTATGCTTTGAAAACGAAGCAAAAATATGACTTGGCGAACAATCGTAGGTATAGTGCACAAACTTCTTTTTATGTAAACAATGCTTTACATCATTTTCAGCTTACAAAAATAGCATAAATCTATTTTGAAGGCAAAAATTTGAGCGTAGGCTTGCTGTTAGGTCTATGTCGGG